CCGTTGCTGCTTTTCGGCCTGCCCCTTTGGGAGTTTTCCCTGTTTCTTTGTAATTTGGTAGTTAGCCAGGGATTTCAGCAGAGTCAGAAGTCACCCTCTTTGTTCCTTTCTTGCTTATAGATGTTCCCACTTCTTGATTTCCAGCTACTTGGCTGATTTTAGGCTGTCTCTGACATTTCACGGCTGCAAGATTCAATTTTCTGTCACCTGAATTGTGCATAGTTAGGAAATTTACTAAGTCTGTGTGTTTGTTTTTAAAAGGCAGCACATTCACATAGCTTTGTATTCAAGGGTAGATTTCTCTCTGGTTTCTGTCCACTTTTTCACCAGGTTCCTTAGAGTCGTTTACCACATATATGTAGTTTAGCTTTTGGCCAGAGACTTGGACAGAGTTTATTTTCAGAGTTTGTACTTCTTCTGTGGTTTTTATGCTGCCAGTACTTTTCCTGTAGACTTCTAGCTACTTTTCAGCCTTGTACTCCAATCTGTGGAACCTTTAGCTGGTAAGGTTGTGGTTTTCCATGGCTGTCTTTCATCACCCTCAGGTGAGGAAGATATAAACTTGAAATTCCTACTCCTTCCTGTGGCAGTTTCTAAGAGTAAAGTCTCCTGCTTCTATCTGCTTTTGGATTCTCTCCAGGGTCTTTAAATAATTGTTCTTAAAAAAAAAAAAATTCCCAAACCTGTTTTTATCATTGTTATCAGTAGGAACATTTCAAAACCACTTCAATCCTCTGCCATTTCTGGAAGCTATCGGCCTCTTGGGTTTTTTATTTCAGTGTCTTCATTTTTCATTTGAAGTTTTATTTAGTCACTTTCTGAATTAAACCTGCTAGTGTTTGTGATAGTCTTTTTATTTCTCAATTTCAGGTCCTTTCTGAAAAACATATCAGATCGTTTTAAAGATGCTTATTTTATGGCCTGTATCCAGTCAATGTCCTGAAGCTCTTGCATGTTCAGAAATGCCATTTGGTGTGTGTTGACTCTCTCTCATTTAACTGTTTATAAGTAATTTTTGAATTATGAACTATTGATCAGGGATGCAGTAAACATGGAAACACCAAGCATCTTGATTTAGGGCTTTAGGTCTACAGGGAGACTTTTGTTTGCTCTCATCTGGTGTCCCAGGAATATCACGGATCTCTTTCTTTCTTTTCTTTGCCATTTCCTTTCTTTCTTTGTTTTGTTTGTTTGTTTGTTTGAGATTGAGTTTCACTCTTGTTGCCCAGGCTGGAGTGCAATGGCATGATCTTGGCTCACTGCAACCTCCATCTCACCGGTTCAAGCAATTCTCCTGCCTCAGCCTCCTGAGTGGCTGGGACTGCAGACACCCGTCACCACACCTGGCTAATTTTGTATTTTTACTAAAGACAGGGTTTCTCCATGTTTGCCAGGCTGGTCTTGAACTCCTGACCTCAGGTGATACTCCCACCTCTGCCTCCCAAAATGCTGGGATTACAGGCATGAGCCACCACACCCAGCGTGGACCTCTTTCTTATGTTAATTTCTAAGGCTAAGGGTTCCTAGACCAAGCAGGTATAACTTTGTAGCCCAAATCTTCTTGAGGACAGGCTCATGATTATAGGGCTGAAGACAGCCACATCCTTAGGCCAATGAATAGACTATTTTTTGGATTCATCCCTTCACTGACGAGCGTAGTTCTTCGAAACTCCTGGTTAGCAGATGTCTCAGTTGAGATTCCTGCCTACCTTCAGCTCAAGATCTGGTTTTCTGCCTACCCCTGCTCCCTGAGGAGTTTAAAAACCTCATCTACTTGACTAATGAACCCCCAATACTGCCTATTTACTGCTATGATTTTTTTTAATTTTTCTGTTTCATTTGACTCTCTACTTTGGGAATTTTAAAACAAAAGTAAAAATAATAGTATAATAAACACTCAGCTGGGCGCGGTGGCTCACGCCTATAATCCCAGCACTTTGGGAGGCTGACGCGGGTGGATCACAAGGTCAAGAGATCGAGACCATCCTGGTCAACAAGGTGAAACCCCATCTCTACTAAAAATACAAAAATTAGCTGGGCATGGTGGCGCACGCCTGTAGTCCCAGCTACTCGGGAAGCTGAGGCAGGAGAATTGCTTGAACCCAGGAGGCGGAGGTTGTGGTGAGCTTAGATTGCGACATTGCACTCCAGCCTTGGTAACAAGAGTGAAATTCCATCTCAAAAATAAATAAATAAATAAATAAACAAACACTCATACACCTACTGCCTAACAACTTATATTAGAGTTTTCCAGAGAACCAGAACCAATAGAGGATGTGTGTATATGTGTGTGTGTATGTGCCTATGTGTATAGATAGTTAGATATATTTATTTTAAGGAATTGGCTTACATGATTGTGGAGGCTGGCAAGTCCATCGTACTGCAGGGTATGCTGGCAGGCTGAAAACTCAAGTAAGAGCATGGTAGTACATGCCTATAGTCCCAGCTACTCAGGAGCCTGAGGTGGGTGAATCCCTTGAGGACAGGAATTTGAGGTTATTGAGCTATGATCATGCCACTGCACTCCAGCTGGGAGACAAAGTGAGACTCCCATCTCAAAATAAATAAGTAAAAAAATACCTAAAGGAAGAGCTGATGTTATAGTTTGAGTGTCAAGGCTGTCTGCTGGCATAATTCCTTCCTCCTCAAGGGAGGTCAGTCTTACCTACTCAGGCCTTCAGCTGATTGGATGAGGCCTACCCACATTATGGAGAAGAATCTGCTTCACTCAAAGTCTAATTAAGTGTTATCCTCATATAGGAGATATCTTTACAGAAATATCTAGAATAATATTTGACAAATATTGGGGGACTATGGCCTAGCCACAGTGACATGTAAAATTAATCACTATACAAATTAATAATAATTCCCTGTTATCCTTCAATAAATCCTCAATAATTTTTAAGTGTCTTTTAATACCCATTTCATATTTACATTCCTCTAATTTTTTCAAAATTGTCTTTCATAGTTGTTTTTTTTTGCAAATCAAGTTCGTCAAAGACTAAGCATTCATTTAATTATTACATCTTTTAATTCTTCCTTAATTTAAAAGATGTATAAGAAATGTTCCAGAGAATATGACAAGAAAAAAAAAGATGAAAAATAAGAGAGAGATAGAAAAAAAAGAATATTAAAGGCTCAAATCAGGAAGTCAAGCTTCTGCTAATAGCAGAGCCGGGTTGGCAGGGGATGCTGAATAAGTGGATAGGAGACAGTTATCCAAAAAATTTCACCAGAGGGCTGGGTGCGGTGGCTCATGCCTGTAATCCCAGCATTTTGGGAGGCCGAGGTGGGTGGATCACAAGGTCAGGAATTTGAGACCAGCCTGGCAAATATGGTGAAACCTCATCTCTACTAAAAAATACAAAAATTAGCCACATGTCATGGCAGGCATCTGTAGTCCCAGCTACTCGGGAAGTTGAGGCAGGAGAACTGCTTGAACCCAGGAGGTAGAGGTTGCAGTGAGCAGAGATCATGCTATTGCACTCCAGCTTGGGTGACAGAGTGAGACTCTGTCTCAAAAAAAAAAAAAAAAAAAAAAATTCACCAGAGAATTTCCTAGAATGAGAGGACATACATTTCCAGATTGGAAGGGCCCACCACAAACTCAACACAGTGAATAAAAAGATCCACACTAAGACTCACTGTTAAAACATTTCAAATACTGGAGGCAAAGTAGATACTGAAAACTTCCAGAGGAAAAGAAGTCGTGCCATATAATTGATAAGAAATTAGAATGATGTCACACTTCTTCATATCAATATTCTACTCTTAGGGAACAAAAGAACAATCCCTTCATGTTTCTGAGGGAGAATAATTTCCAACTGAAATTTCCATACCCAGCCAGACTGTCACCCAAGTAAGAGGTTGGAATGAAGACATTTTCAGGCACAAGTGCCTTTTAAAAAGGGACTTTCGGTGTACCATTTGTATAAAAGCTATGGGAGGATATTTTAAAAGATGGGTAGGTGAGCGAAGAATAAATCAAGAAAGAGGATTCCATGGGATCCTGCAACAGTCAGTCCAAAACCGGAGAGAGTTATAAGGGACCCCAGGAAAATCATGGAGGGAAGCCATAGGGTGACTGCTGTGCAGAAAGCCCCGAGAACAGCCTCATGAATTGGAGAAAGAGATTGAAGGGCTTCACAACAGATATTGCAGTGAAAAGTTGAACTGATAAGCAAAGTAGTTGACTGTACTGAGAGGCTTTTTAGAGATTTACCAGAGAGTTTGGGGCTGAATTAATGATGAATAGGTTGAAAATGGAGGAAATAAAAACCAGACACTGATATAAGAAAAGAGACACAATCATTTGTATGGTCTTTATGCAACTAACTGTTAACGTGAATGTTGATCTAGTCAATGCATTGCTATTTACATTTAAAATTAAAATTACATAAAATTCAAGTTTCAATTATTCAGTCACACAATTCACATTTCCAAGTGCTCAAGAGCCACATGTGGCTAATGAGTATCATTCTGCTCAGCACAGATAGCATGTCCATCAGCGTGGAAAATTCTGTTGGACAGTACTATCCTAAATTGTTCTCAGATTCATCTCTTCTTCCCAGCACGTTGCCATTCTCTCTGAGGTAGTATAGAGTAGCGATGGAAGGTATGGACCTCGTAGTTGAAATACTTGAGCTCAAGTACGGGTGTCATCACTCACTTGCTGTGTGATTTTGGGTATATCATATAACCTCTTGGTGCTTCCGTTTCTCCATCTTTAAGATGAAGATACCAATAGCATCATCAGTATCTTCTCCTGAGGGTTGTAAAGGTAGACGGTGATCATGCATTTATCTGAAGTGCTGAGCACCATGCCTGGCCCATGGGAACCACTAAGTAAAGGTTGCCTGCTACAATTACTCCTCTTCCCCCTCCTCACCACCCACCTGGTCAGCCACTTCTGAGCTCGCATGCAGCCCTGAAGGACAGTTCCCAATTTAACCCAAAGCTTCCCAAGTCAAAGCCCACCTCTCTCTCTTTCTCTCCCCAAGGACTTCCTCGGGTGCTCCAGGAGCTTGTCATTCCAGAGGCAGAGCAGCTCAGAAGTGCTGGGATTTACACCTCTAGTAGAAACCCTCAACCAGAGGATGGAAATCAGTGGGTAAGTACCCCAGCTTCCCTGCTGGGCAATTCTGAGGTGTTTCCTCCACAATCCCTCAGAGCCCCGCGCCGGAATTGAGGCCAGTTTTCTACAGCAGTGGCCTGTTCAAAAATCTGCCCTTTGTTGGCCCTTCTTCCTTCCACGTATGACTTTCTCCTCCTTCAACTTGTGCTTCTTGGATTTTCCTCTCAACCTGCACCCAAGTAATGCTCTCGGGGTCTGTTTTTGGGGTACCCACACTAAGATCATTATCATCATTATCATCTCATCATCGTTGTCATCATCATCACTGTCAATTCGTTTTCTTATCTCTTTTTTTTTTTTTTTTGTGATAGAATCTTGTTCTTTTCCCCAGGATGGAGGGGTGCAGTGGCATGATCTCAGCTCACTACAACATCCGCCTCCTGGGTTCAATTGATTCTTGTGCCTCAGCCTCCTGAGTAGCTGGGATTACAGGCACATGCCACCCTGCCCAGCTAAGTTTTGTGGTTTTGGTAGACATTGAGGTTTCACCGTCTTGGCCAGGCTGGTCTCAAACTCCTGACCTCATGTGATCCTCCTGCCTTGGCCTCCCAAAGTGCTGGGATTACATGCATTCGTCACTGTACCTGGCCAATTTATTTTCTCCTTATCTCAAGACCAAGCTCCTGCAGGAGCCTCCTGACTGGTTTTCCCATCCTTTCCACGCTGCAGCTAGAGCTGTCTCAGTTTAATCAAAATGTCAAGTTATGACTAAACTGCTTAAAATCTCCACTGGTTCCTTCTTGCCCAAAGGCAGAGTGGAACTCTGCAATAAAGAACCTTCGAAAATTCCCCAGATTTGTGAAGTAATTTTCTTCCTTTACCAGCTTCACATGATGCTGCTCAACATTCTTTAAACCTGCTGTTCTCATTTGCACTTGTGACCAAACCTGTGCTGTCTCCTCTTACTGGAGTCATAATAATAGCAGTAATAGTAAATATTCATGGACCACTTGCCCTGTGCCTTGCAGTGTTTCTGTGCAATCCATATGGCTAAAGTTCACTGAATCCTCATGACAACCATGTGAAAAAGGTTATGCTCTTCTCCCTATATTACAGATAGGGAGACCAAGTCTTAGAGAAATAACAAATACAGTGGTGGTGTTAGAGGACTCTAGAGCTTGTGCCCTTTACTTGGCAGGAAAGTGACATCAAACACACATAGTTAACTCACTGGAAAGAAACTTTCCTTACTCAGGAGAGAGAAAAGAAAAAGTCGCAGTTAATAGTGTGGGTGATCTGCTCATCATTCCACTCCTTGCATTCGTGCTTCCAGAGCAGTGAGCGGTGAGGCAGGAGTCTGCCGTTGTCCCAGTTTTCTGGGTCTGTCGTACCAGGAGCACTTCTTGGTTAAGGGTGCTTAATTATTCATTATATTCCTAGGATGTGGCCCCCAAGCACATGCCGGTGACTTCCTCTGGTGCTCAGCTGAAGTAGCAGTGATATATGATCTGCTTCCATGTGGGTGGAAGGAACGGCCATGTTGGATTTGCCCCACGATGGTACATCTGTCTCCCTGAAGGCTTGTCAGGGGTGACTTTGGCCACGTGTGGCCCCCTGTCACACGTGACCCTGTGGTATCTAGTCCATGAGTGAGGTGGGACTCCAGGGCCCTGTTTCCTTTTCCCACTTCCCCACCTGGTAGACACCTGCTGTCTTAGTCTGTCTGGCCTGCTGTAAAAAAGTGCCACAGACTAAATAGCATATAAACAACAGAGATTGATTGTTCACACTTCTGGAAGCTGGGCTGTTCAAGATCACAGCACCAGCAGATTTGGTGTCTTGCAAGGCCCACTTTCTGGTTCATAGAAAGTGGTTCATGGCTCCTTCTGGCTTTGTCCTCACATAGTGGAAGAGACAAGGCAGATCCATCAGGCCTCTTTTAGAAGGGCACCAATTCCATTGGCCAATCACCTCCCCAAGGCCCTACCTCCCAACACTATCACATTGATGATTCCGTTTCAACAGATGAATGTTGGGGACATGCAAGCATACAAACCATAGTGTCTGCTTATCTCTTGTGACACAGCTGAAATGTTACTCCTCTGGGAAGTCTTCGCTAACTCCTCTGGGAAGAATTTTTCCTCCTACCTGTGTTCTGGCGGCATCTAGTCTGTACTCCTCTTAGTGCTCTCCTAAGTTGCGTTTTAATGATTTGTTTGTATATCACAATCTCTAGCTACATTGTGTGAACCTCTCAATAGTGTAGGTTTTTTGTTCTCTGGATTCTCTGGTGTCGGTTACAATCCCGTCTTCCATACTAGGAATTCAGAAACTACTTTCTTGTTTGGTTGTCAGGAAGGCAGATCTCCATGCCTTTTAAACGTTTATTTTATTGTATTATTATTATTATTTTTTCTGAGATGGACTGTCACTCTGTCACCCATACTGGAGTACAGTGGCGCGATCTCAGCTCACTGCAACCTCTGCCTCCCAGGTTCAGATAATTCTTGTGCCTCAGCCTCCCAAATAGCTGGTATTACAGGCATGCACCACCATGCCTGGCTAATTTTTGTATTTTTAGTAGAGATGGGGTTTTGCCATGTTAGCCAGGCTGGTCTCAAACTCCTGACCTCAAGTCAGGATCCACCTGCCTCAGCCTCCCTAAGTTCTGGGATTACAGGTGTGAGCCACTGCACCTGGTCCCATGCCTATTAGAAAAAGGAATGAGATCAATTCAGAGTGGTTATTATAAACAGTCAGTCATGTTTCTTATAGAACCTGGAGTACCAATAATATTCTGTCTCTATTCACTTTATATCTCTTTGGTTTCTCTCTTCTTTCCATGGGATCACTATTTGACCTTTGGACTTTAAGGAACTAGTTTCTGAAAAGTAATGTGGGCTGTTGAGTTTTCCTCCTTAGATCTATAAAAATGTATGTATGTTACCTATTTTCATACCCAGTTTAAGACATTGCCTCCGGCCAGCTAATCTCCCCTCTCTTGTCCCTGAACCATGAAACTTGCACCATCTCTGAAAAGTTTCCAAGTTGTCTTTCTGTTTTTGCAGCTTGTAAAAGATGTGGGTTTTGGTTGTATGATTCTTTTTAAGCTGCTTCATTTGTTTTTGGACTGAAAAGTAGCATAGCTACCCAAACTTGGACAGAAACATCAAATTCAGAATCTCTGGAAGTACAGTAATAAGAAGCTAATTACTTCATGTTTTCAATATGAATGAGACTCAAATACAGAACAGAATTACTGCTTCCCTGTTCTAACTCGCACCCTCAGCCATGCTGGCAAATCTTATTTTTCCTCTTGGGTTTAAGGGAATCTGTTGGGAATAAAAAGCATTTTCCTCTACTCCACCTGCTGGATGGAATGCATAAAAGCCTCCATGAGAGATCAAAGTATTTAGCAAATATAACTTCAGCTTCCACAGTTTCAAGTCTGAAATATATTTCAGAGTTTCAGATTTGAATCCAGGCCAGAAACATGCATGCTGATACTGATGATTTGTTTCCTTTGGCAGAAGGTCTAGGGAAGTGTTATAATTCAGCTGTAGGAAGATAGGAGAATTGCGTATATGTGGCTTCTACTTGATTGTCTGCAGATGGTGGAGAATGGAGTCTACTAGCTTCCCTCTTCTATCAGTGGCTTCTACTGCCCAACTGCTGCCTCAGATGACATAATTAAAGAAAATTATGATAAAATGTGACAAAGATTTTTATAACATCATTTCACAGTACTGTACATATAGCCTACTCCACTTACGACCAAATAGTGTTACCACCAGTCTGTCGGAACCAATTGTGGTCATAAGTCGAGCACTAGCTGTACAGTACTGTGAAATGATGTTATAAAAATCTTTAAGTCACATTTTATCATAATTTTCTTTCATTATTGTTATATATCATAATTTTCTTTGTTCATTTTATGCCATTTGTATCATCTCTACACCATTTTGTTTCTTATTTTTACATTCGTCAGGTTTAAGTAAAACACTGCATTACCAGTACAACTGGTTTAATATTTGCAAAACATACAAAATTACAAAATACAGGTGCATACAAAAATACAAAATACAGGTGTAAAAAATACCATAGGAAACATTTTCCCAATTGCAAAGCATATCAAAATATATAAACATGTACGAAACATTTTATTGGCCGCTGGTGCTTGGCTGCGGATCGTCGATGTCGTCATCTGAGGCAGCAGTTGGGGTTACTGGAGTTGGTTTTTTCATAAACATGGTGAGATTTGTCTCAATTGTATGTTTCTTTTTTTCGTCATAAATTTCACGATATGGACGAAACACATCGTGCGCCATCCGTTCAGTCCTTGCAAATCGTTCCATGTTTGGGTCCATTGCTTCGAAATGTACAAGTTTATTGGGAGGGGTTTGATGAAAAATATGCAAGACACAAAACACAAATTGCTGTACCGAGTCTGGGATAACAGTTGAAATGGTGCACGCGGAGATGGTAGTGCTGCCGGAAGCTGGTCTGCACTGTCGTACGCCCAGCTGGGCAACGTTTGTGCTGCCAGACGCGGAGCAGTCGTGGCTAGCGATTGTGGTCATAAAGTCAAATGGTCGTAAGTTGCATAGGTCGTAAGTCAATCAATACCTGTATGGCAAAAATTTTGGAAGCAGTATGCGAATGACTGAAATTTGAAAAATGATGTGTTCATCAGTATCTGTCTCCCTTTATGAAGTGTAAGCTCCAGGAGAGGTTTTCTGTGCACCCTTGCACCCACCAGACCTAATGCATATTTAGGTCTTAAGAAATATTTGTTGAAAGAATGGACATGTGATTGAATGAGAAACCTAGTGATTTAACAAGTGTCCCTCCCAAGTAACATCAGGACAGGTGATTAGAAAGAAGGTTGAGGTTTTATTGAGGATCATCCATATAGATTGCAGACAGGAAATAGGCTGGAACTTTGTAGACTTAGAGTGTTCACTTCAGATGCCCAGAGACTTGGCAGTCACAGGACTGCAGGGAACCATGCCTGTTACCCTACTCAGAACAGTTCAGTAGCGTCCTGGGCAGGTATTGCCACAGGATAGATTCCCTGGGAAGCAGACTCTGAGATGCAGATTAGCACATGGGAACTTTATTATAGAGTGTTCTTAGAGCACCTGTGGAAGAGAAGGAAGTGAAAGAAACACGGCAGAGGGAGAATTTGGGACATTCCCAGTAGAGGCCTCCGCTTACCCTGTGAGAGGTTCTGAAGCAGGAATAATCCTTTAGAGCTAGCTAAATAATTAGGCTGGGTGTGGTGGCTCATGCCTGTAATTTCATCACTTTGGAAGGCTGAGGCAGGAGGATTGCCTAAGCCCAGGAATTCAAGACCAGCCTGGGCAACAGGGTGAGACCCCATGATATAGTTTGGATGTGTCCCCACCCAGATCTCATCTTGAATTGTAGCTCCCATAATTCCCACGTGTCATGGAAAGGAGACAGTGAGAGGTAATTGGATAATGGGGGCAGGTCTTTTCTATGCTGTTCTCATCATAGTGAATAAGTCTCACAAGATCTGCTGGTTTTATAAAGGGCAGTTCCCGTGCACACACTCTCTCTTGCCTGAAGTAAGGTTTGTCAGTAGAGGGCGCCGGAGGGACACTATCAGAAGAAGGGGCATTTCTTTGGGGTTCTTGTACTTTTCTTCTTGCTCCTATGGAACAGTGGCCTCTGGGCAGCTCCCTGTGGAGATGTGCTGGTGCACACCTGCTGGAGAGTTTTGCTGGCACCCCAGCAAGTGCTTCCAGAGAGTTTCACCAGCATTCTAGTAGGAATGAAGCACCTCAGTGAAATTCTTCACCATCTAGTGGGCCACGGCCACGTCTCAAATGCAGCCTGAAGCTCATCTTGAGAGGCTGTCCTCTTTCAAGTGGGTTCCTTCCTTGAGTACCCTCCTCAGCCTTGATGATAGTAGATACTCCCTACATCTGCTATTCCAATGTTCTTTAGAGAGAGCTTTACCCCTCTTAGTAGTTAATCCCTTTTACTAGTTAACAATTCTTTCCATTAAAATGTTCCCCTGTTCAAATGATTGGTGTGGTTTCTGTCTCCTGACTGGACCCTGACTAATGTCATCATAGACAATAAATGGTTAATGGATGGGCTGGGCACAGTGGCTCACACCTGTAATCCCAGCACTTTGGAAGGCCGAGGAGGGCAGATCACTTGAGGTCAGGAGTTTGAGACCAGTCTGGGCAATCTGGCAAAACCCTGTCTCTACTAAAAATATAAAAATTAGGAAGAGAGATCCGAGATGGCTGATTACTAGCAGCTCAGGATTGTAGCTCCTAGTGAAAGTGCAGAGAACAAGAGGACGCCACACTTTCAGATGAATTTTTGTTGCTCACGGACTGAGATTCCCAGCGGAGGAGCCCCACGGGTCGCCAGCACGACTCTTGTGGCCGGCGCAGTGGTTTTGCTCGTCACAAGAGTCGCAGCAGTTCTTGGTGCAGAGTAAATGGGACTGGGTCCCCTTTCGGCCGATGTTTGGAGCTCCGGGAAGGCAGAGTGACCTATTCAGCTGATTGAAGGACGGACTCAAGAAGGAAGCCAGACTGGAGATTCCCAGGCAGAAAAGCACCATCAATCTTAACGCCGTTTTAGCTGGCGCAGTGGGTTGCTCAGGTTCCAGCGCTAGGAATCAACAAGTTGGCCATCTAGTCAGAAACCTAATTAGAAAGTTGGCAATTATAAAGACCACAGATGGATAAATTTATAACGAAGGGAAGAAACCAGCCTAAAAATGCTGAGACTACCCAAAATCAGAACGCCTCTCCCTCTACAGGGGAGCACAGTTCCTCATCAGCAACTGAACAAGGCCTGATGGAGAACGAGTGTGTTCCATTAACAGAAGCAGGCTTCAAAAGGTGGATGAAAGGAAACTTCTGTGAGTTAAAAGAACTTCTAACCCAATGCAAAGAAACTAAGAACTTTGAAAAAAGGTTTGACAAAATGCTAACGAGAATAGACAATTTAGAGAGGAATATAAGTGAATTAATGGAGCTAAAAAACAATGTGAGAGCTTCGCAAAGTATGCACAAGTTTTGACAGCCAAATTGATCAAGCAGAAGAAAGGATATCAGAGGTCGAAGACCAACTTAATGAAATAAAACAAGAAGACAAGATTAGAGAAAATAGGATAAAAAGGAATGAGCAAAGTCTCCAAGAAATATGGGATTATGTGAAAAGACCTAATCTACGTTTGATAGGTGTACCTGAATGTGATGAAGAGAATGAATCCAAGCTGGAAAATACTCTTCAGGGTATTACTCAGGAAAACTTTCCCAACCTAGCAAGGCAGGACAATATTCAACTCCAGGTAATACAGAGAACACCACAAAGATATTCCTCAAGAAGACCAAACTCAAGGCACATAATCGTCAGATCCACCAGGGTTGAAATGAAGGAGAAAATACTAAGGGCAGACAGAGAGAAAGGTCAGGTTACCCACAAAGGAAAGCCTATCAGAGTCACAGCAGATCTCTCAGCAGAAACCCTACAAGCCAGAAGAGAGTGGGGGCCAATATTCAACATCCTTAAAGAAAAGAACTTTCAACCCAGAATTTCATATCCAGCCAAACTAAGCTTCACAAGCGAAGGAAAAATGAAATCTTTTGTGAACAAGCAAGTACTCAGAGATTTCATCACCACCAGGCCTGCTTTACAAGAGCTTCTGGAAGCAGCATTACACATAGGAAGGAACAACCAGTATCAGTCTTTCCAAAAATATACCAAAAAGTAAACAGCATCAACAACATAATGAAGAATTTACATCAACTAATGGGCAAAACAGCCAGCTAACATCAAATGGCAGTATTAAACTCATATATATTATTATTAATCCTAAATTTAAATCGACGAAATCCCCCAATCAAAGGACACAGCCAAAACCCATCGGTATACTGCATCCAGACCCATCTCACATGCAAGGATACACAAAGACTCAAAACAAAGGAATGGAGAAAGATTTACCAACCAAATGGAAAGCAAAAATAAATAAATAAGTAAAAAGCAGGAGTTGCAATTCTCACCTCTGATAAACTAGACTTTAAAGCAACAAAGATCAAAAGAGGCAAAGAAGGACATTACATAATGGTAAAAGGATCAATGCAACAAGAAGAGCTAACAATCCTAAATATATACGCACCCAACACAGGAACACTCAGATACATAAGACTTATAAAGACACTTAGACTCCCACACAATGATAGTGGGAGACTTCAACATCAATAATAGACAGATCAACGAGACAGAAAATTAACAAGGATATCCAGGACTTGAACTCAGATCCGGAACAAGTAAACTTAATAAACATTTATAGAACTCTCCACTTTAAATACACAAAATATACACTCTTATCAGTACCACATCATACCTACTCAGAGGTTTAAATGAAATATTGGTTCGCTGCTTGTTTGTTATTTTCTTCCCTCATTTTTTTTCCTGTCTCCATTATTAAGCACAATTATTGGCATAAAAGAGGTTTTCAATACCCATTTTTAGACTGCATACTAGCCTGGGCAATAAAGCAATACTCCCGTTCTCTCTCCCTCTTCCTCTTCCTCTTTATTCCTCTCCTTCATTCTTTTTTTTTTTATTCTTTTTTTTCTTTCTCTCTTTCTTTCTTTTTTTCCTTTAAAAAAAAAAAATTTGCGGGGCGTGGTGGTGCTCGCCTGCAGCCTTAGCTACTCAGGAGGCTGAGGCAGGAGAATCACTTGAACCGGGAAGCGGAGGTTGCAGTGAGCTGAGATTGTGCCACTGCCCTCCAGCCCGGGTGACAGAGTGAAGTTTTTGGGAGTTACACGTTTTTAAGCAATCTATAAAACCAATCTCTTTTTCACCTCAATTAAATATATGGCAGATTCCAGTAGCACCGAAGATATGGAAACATATTTCCCTCTCATTTGCTCTCTCTGCATAACCATCATATGGATTTACAATTTGGTCCTGTATTAGCAGAAACAATCCAGCCAGTGTTTTTTTTTTTTTAATGAAGACTAACAGCCCGATGGCTGCTAACCGTTCTACCCATCATCGTTCGAACTTCGCTCACCTCCCAGGCCTGTTAAGGCCTTTGTCCTTGTCGTCAGGACTAGGTAGGTCTCGCCCAATGGGGACAAAGTGGTCACTGGGGATCCGGATCTGCACGGCTCCGTGGCCTAAAGAGGCAGCCGCGCCTGCCTGCGTCCTTAGGCCGCCTTCCCAGACCCTCTATCACCTAATGACCTCCGCTGCAGAGCATTCGAGCGGCCGCCAAGTTTTCTGGTCCGCCCCTCTCGCCGCCACCCAGAGGCATTGCATCCGGGCAGCTCAGCTGGGGCTCTGTCGAGGCCCGGCACACTTGGGCCGGGAGACCCGGTGGCCAGCAGGGTCCAGGCTGGGTACTGGCTGGGAGACGCTGCCGCCGCCATCAGTCACCGAAGTGGGGTGGGGTAGAGAGGTTCACCACAGCTTCAAGGCCTGAGCCTGGCCAGGCCAATGTGCAGCCACAGCAGAGGCCTCCGGTGTCTGAAGGGCAGAGGGCACGGCCTGTCCTGGGGCCCCCCAGCTCACCCGCCAGCCCGGGGCCGGAGGGCCTGGAGGGCCCAGGGGGAGCTCGCAGTGCTCTGCGTTTCTCCGTGTTCTCTGCCGGACCGGAACTCTATTTTAAAAATTTTTAATTTTAGCAAGCAGCCCACTGAACATGGCACTAAACCTCTCTCCTTCCCAGGCAGGATTACTCTGAAAGGCAGGTGTGCTTTTCATTCATCCTCTCTTAGCAAGTGGTGCCTGTTCCCTGCTGGAGTTAAGTTTGAGCCCCTCTTTCCACACCCTGTTCCTGGATACACCAGCAAGACCTGGCCTGAATAGAGATGAGAAACTCGTTTAAAACAGGTAGAAGTGGGCTGGGGCAAGGAGGACTCTGCGGGAGGAGGAAGGGAGAAGCACAGAGGGCCCAGGAAGGCATAGGGGGTGAGGGAGCAGCTGGTGTTTCTGTCCCTCTAAATATCTGGGCTTCCTGCTACCCCAACCCTGGAGGGTGGGGTGGGGGGTGAAACTAGATGCAAGGAACTCTGGGGCCCTCTGGCTGTTCAGTCCAACCCTGCCACCCACCCACCCCCTACCCACCAAAGAGAAAAAAGAAAGAATGAAAAGAAAAGCCACAGGGGCACAAGCACATCCCTAAAACTCAGAAAACTCGTTGGCACACTTCTCGTTGATGGAGATCCGGATCTCTTCCTCCTCGTAATTGTCAAAGTTACTGGCATCCCCAGGGCCTGCAAACTTCGGGATGAAGGGAGCTTCCACCTTCTTCTCATAGATGGCGATCCAGTTGGTTATGGTGAACCACTTGTGGTTCTTGATGTCGCCGACCCCGTTCCAGAGGTTCCCGAAGCGCTTGGTGAGGTCCACCTGCAGCAGGCTCCGCAGCAGGTCCTTGAGGTGAGAGCTGACATGGGAGGGGAACCGCACCTTCCCAGAGACGATCTTCTGATAGATCTGGATCCACTGGTCGGCAGAGAAGGGCGGGAAGGCCATGGCCATCTCATAGGCGAGCACCCCCAGGGCCCACCAGTCCACGGCCTTGTTGTAGCCTTTGCTCAGGATGATCTCGGGGGCCAGGTACTCGGGGGTCCCGCACAGGGTCCAAGTGTGGCCCCTCATGCGCTTGGCGAAACCGAAGTCCGTCACCTGCAGGTAGCCCTGCTGGTCAATGAGGAGGTTCTTGGGCTTCAGGTCGCGGTGGATGAGGTCAAGCAAGTGCAGGTACTGGAAGGCCAGGACGATCTGGGCGGCATAGAAACAAGCATGGGACTCTCTGAACCTTCCGACACGCCGTAGGTGGGAGAACATCTCCTCACCCGGGGATATCCTTTCTTCTGCTTGGTCAATTCGACTGTTAAAACTTGTACATACTTCCCGAAGTCCTCGTGTTGTGTTTTTCAGCTCCATCAATTCACTCATATTCCTCTCTAAATTGTCTATTCTCGTTAGCATTTCATCAAATCTTTTTTCAAAGTTCTTAGTTTTTTGCATTGGGTTAGAATAAGTTCTTTTTGCTCACAGAAGTTTCTTATTATTCACCTTCTGAAGCCTGATTCTGTCAATTCATCACACTCATTCATCAGGCCTTGTTCCCTTGCTGGTGAGGAGTTGTGACACCTTGTAGAAGGTGAGGCATGATTTCAAGTATTTTCAGCCTTTTTGCGCTGATTTCTTCCCATCTTTGTGGATTTATCCACCTGTCGTCTTTGTAGTTGCTGACTTTCAGATTGGGTCTCTGAGTGGACGTCCAGTTTGTTGGTGATGAAGTTATTTCTGTTTCTTAGTTTTCCTTCGGTGATGCTCCTCCCCCACAGAGCTAGACCTTCCTGGCTTCAGCTGTGCTTGCTGTGAAACTCTCAACCCACAGCGTTTCCAATTGCTGTTCTTTTGTGGGGGTGGGACCAGCCGAACCTGATCACCTGGCTCCCTGCCTCAGAGCATTTTTTTTTTTAGTTGAACGGTGGATTCTCTCCCAGGTATTCCGGTCGCCTGTTGAAAAAGCGCCAGGATCTGTGTGATTTCCCATGCGGTGACCCACTGCGCCGACTGAAACAGTGGCGTTGAAATTCGTGGTGCTTTTTGCCTGGGAATCCTCGGGTCTGGCTCCCTGTTTCAGTCCCCTCTTCAATCAGCTAAATGGGCGACTGTGCCTTCCCAGAGCTCCAAACACCAACCAAAAGGGCACCCAGTCCCGTATATTCTGCACTGAGAACCGCCAAGCTGGCCAAAAGAGTCGCGCTGGCGACCCATGGGGCTCCTCCACCTTCGGGAGTCTCCTGGTCCGTGGGCAACAAAAATCCATCTGGAAATGCGGCCTCCACTCACTCTCTGTGCTTTCACTGGGTCAATAGTGCTGTCCCTAATGCAGGCATTCTATTTTGAGAATGCAATAGATTTTACTGTTTGTTTCCACAGGAAGTTGCTAAACTGTTAATACAGTTGATATTCCCAGCCTCTCAACAGCCTTGTGTTTCTAATCCACACAAAACAAGGTAGTATATAATATGCTCCTATAACTTATTTTGGAGAACAAGGCATATTAGAAAATAATCCGACATTTTATTCTTATGTGTCTATGGGACAGACTAAAAAAAAAATTTCCTAAGACAAGAAAACATGAAATGTGAAAATCACAATGAAGGGTGTCTCTGTGACAATTGGCACAAATTGACTGTTTACATCTCTAGCCCCAAACACTTTGCCCAGTGAACCAAATCCTTAAATTGACACAGTTCCAAACGGAGTGCCCAACCCTTCATTAAGGCTGATAGAAAAGCACATGGAGGACATGTGAGGTTTTACTTGTTTATGTAATAAAACAGACACCAATGTTTAGCTGCTGCATGTGTAAATTTAGCCTGCGTGACAGTGGGGAGCTAAGAAGGAAGGAGGCAATTTGGGAAATACCTCCTTCCCACATCACAAACATTCTCAGAACCATCGGAAGACCCCAAAGCCAGGTCCTAAAATACGTGTATTTTATAAAGCAAACCCACCCTCTGGCTTCAGGCTTTGTGTGACCTGGTTTCTCTTTTTAATTTTACAACTAGGGTGGAAAGCTAACAGTGTAGTATGTCATGGTCAATATGTCAACCGCAAAGTGGGTCCAACGTTGCAGAAAGATTCCAGTAGTCATTTAGTACATTTCCCTTGTAAGTTGCGAGAACAGTAGTTGAATCACTGGGGTCTGGAGTCCCTAATGTCAGATCCCCAAGCCTAAAGCTCTGAGGTCTCTTTGTGGATTTTAGTGTACATTTATGTACAATGGCAAGCAGAGTTTTCTCCTGGGGGCAGAGGACAACTTTAAGGAGTGGATTCAAAAGGAGGGGGTGCCACTTTTTACTAGCCATTATTTCAATTTTAACGGTCATCAAACAAATCATCCCTAGTCATTTTGAAATGGAGAACATACAAGTCCCACTGCTCAGTTGGGCTTAAATATTTCCATATCGTCACTACTGCTTCTAAAAATATTTTTTGTTAATTTGTGAAAGTGTAGTTGACAGCACATTTTTGTCTGATGTGCTGCTACTACCATATTAGCTAATATAACAACAACCCAAAAGTGCTTCGGATTGGAGATTCTTCCTCCCTTCCCACCCCATGATAAATAGGACATCACTCAGCTAAATATGAAAAGTGAAGACTGTGCTTATATTTTTCTCTTTGTGGTGGTCAAGTTCACTGACAGGCGGGCCATTCTCAGCCACCCGCACCCCACCAAATATTTAAGACATAGAATTACTTTGTTTAGTTGGTTCAGCCAAGATGGAAATTTCAGATCCCTGTATAAGCTGCATTCCAGCAGCAATGGTGTTTAGCTTATGACTGGGCGAGGAATGACACACTTTTTGAAAGGTAGATAAGCAGTGAGAGAGGATCATTTCCAGAAAGTGATGGGAGCTGAGGAAGATGCATAGAGGCCCCAGCTTATAGCCTTTTCTCAGTTCTATCTACTTTTTATGTTTTCATTAGAAATGGTTAAGAACTAGGAACTGGCAGGGAGGTGGAGGAGGCAACAAAGAGGAATGAAGACTGTGGGAGTTAGGGAGGGAATGACCTCAAGACCCAAAGTGATGAGAATTCCAAAGGAGGGGGAGGGGTCACAGTCTCCAGGGCTTCCAAGAGCAGAAAAATCTGCCAGACCAGCCTTGCAGGCAGCAGTGGGTGCCCATGGAATCTGTTCCATTACATTCATTTTGCATGATTAGCAACAAAACTGACTAAAAGAATTAACAGAGCCTTCAAAATAGATGGTTCCTGGGTAACAGGATGTCCCCTTGTCTTGTTTACTCAAGAACAAACTGTGTCTTTGAAAAGACTAAAGTCATAACACAAGATCCTCATTGGGTCCTGCCATCTTTGGGAAGAACAGTTGCTTTAAGTCAGTGTTTTTCAAACTGCGGTTGTGACCCATGAATGTTGTGAACCAGTTTGAATCATGTTTGACCAGTGTGTTTTAGTGGAATGTAACAGAAAAATCAAAGTGCATCTCATCTAGTTTTGTGAAATTTTTGCTTCTGTTGTGTGTATAACCATATGTTTGTGCCAGGTTGTTATGGAAAATGTAGTTCTTACAGTGGAGCAAGATCTAAAAAGTAGAAAAACACTGCTTTAGGCAACGTTAGAAGGGAAAGAAGGGATTGAGTGTGGTATACAAATAATGTGGTATGTAATTAGCAGAGTGAGAACACATTGCCCAGCTTTTTCTTTAGGTGATGTGTGTGCATGTGCGTGTGTGCATGTGTGTGTGCATGTGTGTGTGATTCCGCATGATGTGCTAGGCAGCAGCATACTTCCTCCTAAGAATAAGACGTCTTAAGATCCAGAGATTTATTTAAGGAAACACTGCTTAGAATGATAATTTAGAAAATCTGAAAAGCAAATCTACAGCTCCACATCAGGGCTCTTAAGATGAATAGATCCACCCTCTTGCCATTGACTTCAAATTATAAATAAGTCCTTAAATGTTTTTTTGGAGGGGGGCCAGGTACGGTGGCTCATGCCTGTATGCCAGCACTTTGGGAGGCCGAGGTGGGCAGATCACTTGAGGTCGGGAGTTCAAGACCAGCCTGACCAACATAGAGAAACCCCGTCTCTACTAAAAATACAAAAAAATTAGCCAGGTGTGGTGGTGCATGCCTGGAATCCCAGCTACTCGGGAGGCTGAGACAGAAGAATCGCTTGAACCTGGGAGGCGGAGATTTTGGTGAGCTGCGATTGCTCCATTGTACTCCAGCCTGGGCAACCAGAGCAAAACTCTGTCTCAAAAAAAAGAAAAATGAAAGTTGTTTTTTTTTTTTTTTCCAGGTGATAATATCTTTGCCTGAAAAAAAACAAAACAAAAAACCAAAAACAAACAAAAAAACCCAGCCAGTCACCTCAACAATAATATCATAATTTTACATGGCTGATGTTAAGAAAAAGTTTCACCTGAGTTATTTATGGTGCCTGGCTCTCAGGAGGCGAATTTCCTGTATATGTATATTTCCCTAACAGAGACGTAGAAAATCAGAAAATCATCCATACTGCCTTCTGTTTCCAAAAACATTGAAAAATGTTTCTACCTTCACATTCCCTGTTAGCCTTTGAAGTCTGATATCCGGTGACAGGGTATCGAAATCTAAGCAGCCACACCTCAGGGATGCTGGGGAAATCCTTTGACAGAAAGATGAGGAAGCAGGATGCTCAGAAACTCAGACACATTATCACTGATTAATGGAACATTTATTAATATTCGTAAGGTGCAGACTATGATACACAAAAAGACAGTGATGTAAAATGACAGGCGTCTTCATCAGAGGTCTGCTTTGTAGCCTGTGAGTTTAGTTGTCGACAGTACACTCAAGGCTGAGGACTTGGCGACTTGGGCTCCTTTGCCTCTGACACAAAGCAAGGACCTTCAGTAACAGCTGATGCTCCAATCAGTTTTTGCTCGTACACACTGTTGGCCATAGGGATCTTTCTTATGGCTTCCAAGGAAACCAGTACCTCCCTCCACCACCATCACATTGCAAACAACCAAAAGCACATATGTTCAGAGCTGACTCGAAAATGAGTCCTCATGAGAGGCACATGACAAGTGCTGGCTACGAGACTTACTTAAGGAAGACAGCAATGGGAATGTCCCCAGGTTAATGAACTAGAGTATGTTCAGAACAGAGCAGGGAACTACCAACCTCTTCCTTCTGACAAGATCTGACAGGTTCTTTGCCTGATTTGAAAGCAGTCCCTCTGAAGCTGACCCAGTTCTATAGTTGAAAATGCTTACCTTGCCATGTCCTTCTATAGTGTACCTTGCCATGTTCTCTGACATTTTGATAGGGGTTTATTTT